CCGAGAGATCCCCAGAGGCATCCTATAGAGGCCTCTGACCTACAACCCAGGATATAGGGCTGCAGAATGGGCCAGAGGCCACTAGATTCATACGTACCAGTATCACTGGCCACTCTTTCTCTCTCTCTCTCTCTCTTTCTCTTTCTCTCTATTTCTCTCTGTCTCTGTCTCTCTCTCTTTCTCTCTCTCTCTCACCATCCTTCCTGCATTGCCTGTCTCTGTGCCTGTCTATCTGCCTTTGCCTGCCTGACTGCGTACAAAATGCCTCCTCTCCCTGGCCGGATCTGAGTCGGGGGCGTGTGCACGAAGAAGAACCTCGTCGCCTTAGGTCGGCTCCCTCGCGAGCCGTCGGGCAGCTCCGATTGAGCTAGCGCCCAGGCCCCAGCGCTAGCCCCACAGGAGGCCGACCACGTCCCAACTAGACAGGCCAAGCCAACGATCACCCACGTGTCTCATCGCTGAGATCCTGCCAGGTTGGGACCACTGACACGGCCCTAGACCCCATTTTTCGAGCTGAGCCCAGTGATGAACACAAGGCGCATCCCCGGCAGCAAGAGCGAGAGAGAGAGAGAGAGAGATTCCCCATTTAGATCTACCCAGCATAACCTCGACAAGGAGATCCACATATTGATGCATGCTCTGCGCAGGCACGAAATACGAGGAAAATATGTTGTGATCTGAACTCCAATCTGCAAGAGTGGATTCACCTCCGTGCTATCATCACGTTGGGGCGTTTTAGGATGCCTGTTGGCTGCCGAGTAGTGCCTCTACAATTTTCAAGAGACGACCCCTCGAGCGAAGGCTCAGATCCACTGGGGCGTCTCCATTCTGAATTGAGCTCCAGACCCATGGGGTCAAATTGCAAGAATTCTTCTGCGCAATCTGCAGCATCCCGGGCGCCGTCTCCAGGACTGAGTTGAAGGTGACATCGTCGCCTGCAGTTGATTTGAAAGCCGTGTGGTCACAAGTTCACCACATCAGACACGCTTGCGGCAAACAGCCTTCCGAAACCACAGATCTCCCCACTGAATCGCAGACGCTCCACGGATGCCAACTCCAGCAAACAATAAACAACGCGTCGACCATGAGCTTTCGATGCCGCTGGCACATCGATGCAGAAACGCGTCGTGGTACTCTCGCTCGGGAATCACAGAGGCAGTTGCAGCTGGGACAGATACCAAAAGGCGCGGGCGGAATCTCACGTCTGGCCGGCCGGTACAGGACTAAGCCTACGCGCCCAGGGAAGGGTGGAGCAGGACATTCTCCCCCCTCTGCTTCTCCTCCTCCCCTTCCCACAGTCCTCCCTCCTCCTCCTCCTCCTCCTCCTCCTCCTCCTCCTCCTCCTCCTCCTCCTCCTCCTCCTCCTGCCTCGCCCCTCCCGCAGAGGGGACAGCTCTCGTGCAGCGACGCGCACGCGAGCTTGTGCGCGTGTTGTTGGACAGAACGCCCATCGACAGCCGCTTGTGGCTGGGGCAGTGCGGGGGGGAAACGCCACGCACGCGCCAAACCAGACGCCCAAGCCTTGCCCCAAAACTGGCAGGTCACGGCAGGAAAGCATCAGGTCGGGCGTGTCCTCCTACAGGCGGATTTTGATGGAAAAAAACACTCGAAAATAGTCAAAGAGTAAAATGTCGTCCCCGCACTTTTTTCTTTACTATTCTTGAATACTCCTCCTGTAGGGGGATACGCCCGACTTAAGGAAAGCAGCGGGGCCCGCTGGAGGCCGCTCGTCCCCGAGGCTCGGGGAGGGCTCGAAAACGGTCCGAAGCGGGCAGGAGCCCCACCCGGCGAGGTGCCAGCCGCACGCCGCCACCCCGCCTCGCCGGGCCCACCCCGGCCCGAGCCGGGACCCGCGCAGGGAGGGCCAGAACGGCACGCGCACGCCAAGCCCGGCCAGATTTGTGGGAATGGCGATCTGGGTGGCCACCCCGGCAATGCAAGCGAGCTCCCCGGCCCGGCTCTGCACGGCCACACGACGACCCCACTGCCCAAAGTTCAATCCCACGAGGACGCCTGTGGGCCACAGCGCCCTGCCTGCATCCGCATGCCCCGCGCCAGCACTAGCCTGTCCACACGACATGCCTGGAGACGCGTGTCGCTGACTCCCGAAATGCCTCAGACGAGACCATCGGAAAGGCCAGTGATCGGCAGGTCACACCATAGTCCACAGCGAGCCGAGCAGGGGACGACCACCAGGGGGCTCTCAGGGGAGGCACGCCTCCCCCCCAAAAAACAGGGGGCCTGCCGCCTGAAACCTGCTGCCGAGGCGGCGGAAGCAAGTCAATGCGAAACGGGCGGCCAGGGCGAACAACGACGAACAGGGCGGGGCCGCCGAGTCCGACGAGAGGAACATTTAGGGAAACGAACTCTATACACCGACGCTTTTTCCGACCCTGCGCTGAAATTCGCATGGGAAAGCGGATCCTGGTGTATACGGGATCCTGGTGTATACAATTTTCATTGTTTCCCTTGGAAAACTGGGGAAAAGTATACACCACACCACCCCGACGTCGTCCCCGACCCTCAATAAGTCCTGGGATTGAAAAAACAACCCGCCACTGGTAATGTAGATGATCCAATCTCCAAACTCTGGTTGCCGCAGAAGCTGGCGGCGAGCCCGGGGGGTGAATGACAAGGGGCGGGCCTTCGCAGAAGGCTCGGAAGCCCCCGCGGCCTTCTCGGAAGTTTTCTAAGCCTTCCCCGAAGACAGAAAAAAACTGCTCAGAAGGCGCGAGGGCTTCTGAGAAGTCCCGCCGCCTTCTGAGAAGGCCTTCTCCTTCTCACTTCCCCCCCTCGCTCGCCGCCGAAGAAGGGGGGGTTCAATGTCTCAACGATCTCGACGTACAGAGTCCGTCGCCCGATATCGGTTCACACATCGCGAAGAGACATCAAGCCACGTGAGGCTGCCGAAAGCCTGCGTGCGTGGCGCCACGACGGTGGTGCAGTCGCTGGTACAGTCTCGGCCACCAGTGCCAAAACTTAGACAGAGAGAGGCCCCTTTTGGGGAGACGCTGACGAACCCGCCCGAATCCGAACGGCGGCGATGCAGACAGTAGCGACGACGATGGTCGACGCCGAGAGAGGTTCGTCCTGGAACGGGAGCGACGGCGACACTAGACAGCACAGGACAGGTACGCAGTGACTGGCTGTGCGGACGAAAGTGCGAGTCGGACCCACAGCATCGCAAGGCCCACGCCGCACTGGACATCCCCCTCCCCTCTCCTTCAATGCATCCCCCCACTCGCCCTTTCACATTCGCTCTGCCCTCCCCGCTCCACCCCATTCCTGTCCCCCCATGCGGTCCATCCCCTCGTCATCGCTCCCTCCCTCCCACTCCGTCCGTCCCTCCCTCCCTCCCCCCTTCCGAGATCTGCGCACACAATGCCGAAGCCCGAGGCTCTCTGCGGAAGTGAAAGGAATCAAGAGGGCGACCAGCTGTGGAAGCGAGGATAGGCCGCAGAAAGAGAAGGGGAGGTCTGTGGCCCGTGCAGTACATCAGGGCTGAACCTAAACGGGGTTTTTCGTTTTCGTTGTGTTTTCATGTTCCCTCGTTTCGTCTTCAATCCGCCTTTAACGCAAAATGAAATCGAAACGAAAACGGCCCACGAAATCGCCAAAACACCGTTTAGGTCCACCCCTGTAGTACATGGTGTGTGGGTGGGGGGGGAGGGGGGGCAGGGAAAAAAAAGGGATCCTCGGTTCGCGTCCCGCTGCAGGGACATACAATAAACCGTGAGCGCTGACGTGCGCTGCGCTTCCGCGCAAGCGCCCGTCTTGAGCCCATACGAATAGCACGAAAGCAGCACCTGCCGGGGGGGGGGTGCGGCGAGCCTCGACGTCCGCGTGCATACGCACATGGTCCGCAGCGAGTGCACATATGCAGATGCGCCTACACGAGAGCACGTGCAGCCTTTGTCTGGACGAGCCTCCCTGCCATTCAGAGTGGAGGCTCCAAGCAGCACCTTGCCATCGCTCGGACGTCCGTTCCACGTGCACGTGTCGGCTTCGTGCGTCTCTTTTGGTCCAGGATGCTCCTCGACGGCCCTCGCCGGAGAAAAAAGCACAAGTCCGAGCGATGCCAGGACATTCACAGGTCGAGCGCCGGCCGCACGGGCGAGCACAGCAGCGCCCACCACCCGCGGCCCGCAGCGCCCGCGGAGGGGAAAAGGCGAGGGAGGGGGCGGAGAGGCTGCCGTTGGCTGCCTCCTCCTCCTCTCCCTCCTCGCCCTCCTCCCATCCTCCATCATGCTTGGCGGCGAGCGAGGGGGGGAAGTGAGAAGAAGAAGGCCTTATCAGAAGGCGGCGGGACTTCTCAGAAGCCCTCGCGCCTTCTGAGAAGCTTTCTGCGTCTTCGGGAAAGGCTTGGAAAACTTCTCAGAAGGCGCGGGGACTTCCAAGCCTTCTGCGAAGGCCAGCCCCTTGTCACTCAACCCCCCGAGGTCGCCGCCGAATCATGCATCTTGAGTCATGGCTCTCTATATGTTCCATTAGTAAATCGTTCAGGGTCCCCTGAGGCCCAGCAATCGGAGCACGCCTAGTGCAAAGCCTGAGGCGAGCAAAGCTCCTCGCCTCCATGGCTGGTGCTCTGCTTGGTGGAGTTTTCTTCCCCTCGGTGAGTAAGCAGGCACCTCTCATGCTCGCATCATCTCGAGAGGGCTGGACGAAGGGAGGGGAGGGGAGGGGAGGGGAGGGAGAGGGAGGGAAAGGGGAGGCGAGGGGGAGGGGGACGGGGAGATCAAGTGGGAGGGGGAGGGGAAGGGGAGAGGAGGGGGGGACGGAGGGAGGGGAGGGGAGGGGAGGGGAAGGGGAAGGGGACGGAGGACGGACAGGGACGGGCCATCGAGGGCAATTATGGGGCGCCACTATGCGGCGAGCCCCAGTTCGCGCAAGCCCAGGGCAGGGTCGTGGACGGGCGCCCATGCAGGCACTGCGCGCGGCCGAGGCCGAGAAAAACAACCGCGAGACCAGAAATCGGCGCGCGCCTGCGGGAGTTCGGCAACCGTGCTGACGGTAGAGCTAACCACCGTCCGCCCGGGCGTTTCGGTCCAGAAAGAGACACTGCATCAAGAGTGGGCTGACGGGTGAAGAACTGACTCTACCTACCAGACCACCCCAACCCGACCCGAAGACCCGAGTTTCGGGTTGGGGGGGGTACGGGCTTCATATGCGCTTGTGTCCATGATCCCCGCCCCCCCCCACACACAAAACGGGACCTTCGGGTTGGGTTGGGGTGGTTCGGTGGGCGGTGGCCAAGGTTTGGCCTCGAAGCCCACACTCTGCAGCTCGGCGAGTCGCCTCGGCCATGTGCCGCCAGGCCCAAGTGGGGGGCACGGAGGCAGCCTGAGCCTAACGAGCAAGCAGGCGGTTTCGACTGTACCGCGAGAGGCGGATGGTAAGAAGCCGGACCGCGGCGTGTAGCATCCACAGTTGTGACCTTGATGGGCTTGATCACGATCGAGTGGCAGTACACAACGAGCTAGAAGCGGTGGCGAACTGCACGTATGCGCTCCAGAAACACACGCCCGCACGCGTTACGAATTCAGTTGCAGCGAGGACACAGCCAGCGGTAAGTAGCGACGAACACGAATAGAGCTAGTACGTCTCTCAGCAAGCGGTGGCTCGTAGCTAACAACTGTGCGTAGCACGCACTGAGCTTTCTGCATGCACCAGGAAATCAATACTCGCCCACTCAAACTAAACATGCAGCGAACAGCAAGCAATCAGCCTGGATAGCTTGAAAGCGTTCTGGGTGCGTTTGTTTCTGAGTCGTCAGTGGGACGCTAGCAAAACACGAACACCTTTCAACAGGGCAGCCCTGGGCCAGGTCAGCAATGATGGAGAAAAGACTGGCAATCCATCCGTTCAGATTGATCTGGCCCGGCCAGGACACGCTTGTTCGGGCTTGATGAGACCCCCGGAGCCCGCGGCGACGCGGGCAAGGAGCCGAACTCTATACACCGACGCTTCTTCCGACCCCGCGCTGAAACTCGCGAAGGGAGAGAGGATCCTGGTGTACACGGGACCCTGGTGTATACATGCTTCGTCGTCTCCCTGGGAAACGGGAGAAGGGTGCACACCACACCACTCCGACGTCGTCCCCGACCCTCAAAAAATCGTAGAATTGAAACACAGCCCACCACTGGTGATCTACATGTTCCAGTTTCCGATGATGAGGGGGGAGGGTAGGGGACGTGACGCGCGCCATGGCCCCCCCAAAAAAACATCTTCTGCTTGTTCAGTCTCAGACATGGTTTCAGTCCTGGGATGGAAGGACGGCCCGCCACGGGCACAGTGCAGGCGTTCCGGCCTCCGAGAGCAAGACCCGCACGGGGGGCGCGGCCGCCGGCGGGCTCTCCTGCGTGAGCTGCGTGACCGTGTCGTGGAAGTGGCCCAGGCTCTGGCCGTCTGCGCCGCCTGCTGCGGACGACGAGCCGAGGGGCGCGGAGGAGAAGCTCCCGGCAGGGAGGCGCCATCGACGAGAACCGAAGGGGCCCTGGGACACACACACACACATATATATATATACACACACACACACACAAAAATAATAGGATCCCGCATACTTTCCCGTATTTTCTGGGTGTTTGTCTTCCCCCCGAATTCCCATAGTTTCACACATTTTCCTGGGGAATCGACGATTCATTGTGTCTGTGTGCTTCTTCCCCTCCTGAAGAACGCGCATCGTCGCCAACTTCGGATCACACACCAGGGGTCGCAAAGAGACATACTGGTACCATATGCCCTCCTGGAGGCGCGCGTCCGACCCGAACATATTGCACACCCATCTTGTAGTATGTCGTTTCCCGAGCGGTGTGGCCAGAAAGCGCCCGCCACGACGCATATACTGTAAGATTTCTCGGTGCGCGCGTCGCCCCTGGGGGGGCGACGCACACATAGTATTAGTATGTTGGGGTGACGCCGACACCAGATCCCTGGGGACTCCAGGCGCGCCGTAATTACACGCACCACTGAAGCTCTCAGACCCCGAGGCGGCCATCCAGGGGGGGGTCCAGAGTGCATGTTCCCGAAGCTGCACGCTCCCCAGGCGGGTGCGCATCCCTCTGGACGCCCACCTCCACCGCCGGCACCCAGATGCAAAGGTCCTACGGGGGGCACGCCCGACTGCCCTAACCCACCCCTCCGACGCGCAGTCCCCGTCTGACTCGTCCTCATGACTGTCAATGTCGTTCATCATCCGCCCCATCTTCATCCTGCCGTCGCTCGGACGTCGCATTTTTCGGTTTCGTGAGTGTTTTTCCCTACCTAGGCTCTGCCTAGAAGGGTTCTTCCTCTCTTTCTTAAAGGGGCCGGGCAGTGCAACTCGCCCCGGGCGGTTCCCCCAGTCCCCTGGGAGCGGTTCCCCCAGTCGCCTGGGAGCTTTAGCTTTAGCTTTAGCTTTTAGCTTTAGCTTTAGCTTTAGCTTAGTGATGCTTAGCTTTAGCTTAGCTTTAGCTTAGCTTTAGCTTAGCTGTAGCTTAGCTTTAGCTTAGATTTAGCTTAGATGTAGTTTAGATTTAGCTTAGCTTTAGCTTAGCTTTAGCTTAGTTTTAGCGTAGCTTTAGCTCAGCTTTAGCTTAGCCTTGGCTTAGTTTTAGCTTACCTGTAGCTTAGCTTTACAGTAGATTTAGCTTAGACTTAGCTTAGTTGTTCCTTAGAGATAGCTTAGATTTAGCTTAGCTTTACCTCAGATTTAGCTTGGATGTAGCTTAGCTTTAGCTTAGCTTCAGCTTAGCTTTAGCTTAGCGTTAGCTCAGTTTTAGCTTAGTGATAGCTTAGCGTTAGCGTAGCTGTAGTTTAGTTTTAGCTTTAGCTTTAGCTTAGCGTTAGCTTAGCGTTAGCTTAGCTTTAGCTTAGCGTTAGCTTAGCGTTAGCTTAGCTTTAGCTTAGCTTTACTGTTACTACTAATGCTGCTTTCCTAGGGGGTCCAACTCCTAGGTAGGGTCGCATTAGGATAATTTATTGCTCGATGGTCCAGGATGGTCCTCGAAGGTTCTCGCCGAGGAAAAATGCACACGTCCGAGCGATGCCAAGGAAAAGAGTAAGAGGCGCCGAGACCTATCAGCAAGAGGGGCGAGCGGCATGCCCCAGCGGCCTCCAGCCCTCGCAAGCCGCTCCTCCGCGGCCTTCTTGTGCGCGGCGTCCATGCGCGCCAGCTTTTCCCTGTTCCCGGCGATCTCCAGACGCAGGTTCTCCACGACCGCCACCTGCAGCAGGCCGAGGGGCAGGAGCCGTACCCAAAAAGCCCAAAGTTGGGGACGCCTGCCACGATGGGGCTCTAGTGCTGCACGTCGGCTGATCTCGCCAGCCGGCGCGCAACACACACACACACACACACACACACATACACACACACACACACACACACACACACACACACACACACACACACACACACACACGCACGCACACATAACACAAAAAGCGCCTCGCGTGTTCTGTTCAAGTCAAAACCAAGGTCCCGTACGAGCACGAAGCCCAGTCCGATACTGGATGCGGAGTGAAACGATGATGTGAACCCAAACTCTGCTGCTGTTGTTCGTGGCGAGCGCGGGGGGGAAGTGAGAAGGGGCGGGCCTTCTCAGAAGGCTCGGAAGTCCCCTGGCCTTCTCAGAAGTTTTCGAAGTCTTCCCCGAAGACAGAAAAAACTGACCAGAAGGCGCGAGGTCTTCTGAGAAGTCCCGCCGCCTTCTGAGAAGGCCGTCTCCTTCTCGTTTCCCCCCCTCGCCCGCCGCCGAGTTCCATGGGCCAAGCCTCGAAAACGAAGAAACAGAGGACACGCGAAGGCAGAGAGAAGACCGCGTGACGGGCAGGAGCACGAGAGGCGAGGCGAGGGCTAGAAGGGACGAAAGACAGAGGGAATCGGCCAGGGAAGACAGGAGGGGGAGGAGGAGGAGGAGGAGGAGGAGGAGGAGGAGGAGGAGGAGGAGGAGGAGGACGAGGAGGAGGAGGAGGAGAAAGGAGACGAGGACGAGGAGGAGGAGGAGGAGGGAGGAGGAGGAGGAGGAGAGGAGGAGGGGGGGGGGGAGGGGAGGAAAAAAAGGAGGGGGGGGAGGGGAGGAGGAGAAGGAGGAGGAGGAAGAGGAAGAGGAGGGAGAGGGGGAGGAGGGGAGGAGGAGGAGGAGGAAAAAGGAGGGGGCTCGTTGCAGGTATGGCCGGCGAATTCTCGCCCCTCAGCCGTCGCGACGGGACTTGAGAGCGAGTTACGGCCCGACAGCCCCAACAGTGGACTGACAAAAACACGTTCCCTTCGCCTGCATCCACATGCCCACACCCACCTCCTTTCCCCCGAGGATGGCTTTATGGGGCAGATGGGGGGACGTTGAGGAGGGAGCCAACAGAAGGGATGGACGGGTAGGAGGAAAGGGGCAGTGAGGGTAGCAAGGTAGGGGGAAAGCAAGGGAGGGGGTGAAAGAGAGGAGAGAAAAGGCATGCCTCGCCCTCCTGGGAGAGGGGGGCGGGGGAGACCAGAGAAGGGAGTCGGCGTGACGCGTCACGCCAGCCCCCACCTACTTCACAACTTCTCGCCCACCCTCCTGGCTCCGTCAAATAGGACAAGCCATCACGGCTTATCATATTTGATGACCTGCTTAATTTCGCATCTTCTCACCCACATTTCTGCGCACTCGTCTTGCACAGTCGCCAGGCCGCTTATGCAATCGCCTTGAAGTGCCTGGAAGCCCTTGGAGGCTCCCGTGCTGTGGACGGCAGTTCGTGGCTCTCCCTTTTGAATGCGGGGCTTGGGGTGTCGGGTACTTATCTGATGCGTCGAGTGAGAACAGCTCGGTGGCAACTCATGGGAGTCTCCCATACCATATTGCCGGCTCTTGCGAATCGACGACAATCGACGCTACTCGAAGATACATCGATCGACGCTAATCGACGCTAAACGACGCTGAATCGGTGCTGACTCATCGACTCCCAGACGCGAATCGACGCTAAGCGACGCTGAAGACGGAATTCAGAGGGTAGACCAGGCTCCCATGATTTGCTACCGAAGAGCAGCACTCCGCAGACCCCTGGAGGCCCATGAGGCCTACCGATCGCCACGCCCAGGCAGTGCCCCACTCTCATGGCCAGCCCCACTTCTGGGGAGCTCCACGCTAGACGTTGGCTCCTGGGAGCCGCATGCTCTTCGATAAGGCTCGCTCCCCCTGGGGACGCTCCTCGAAGATGCTGGAAGCCCTCGGCGGCGAGCGCGGGGGGGAAGTAAGAAGGAGCGGGCCTTCTCAGAAGGCTCGACAGTCCCCCGGCCTTCTCAGAAGTAATCTGAGCCTCCCCGAAGACATGGGAACCTCTCAGAAGGCCGGGAGGGCCTCCGAGACGTCCCGCCGCCCTCTGCGAAGGCCTCCTCCTCCTCCTTCTCGCTTCCCCCCCTCGCCCGCCGCCCGTCTTCGAGGAGGCTCCCTCCCCCTGGTGACGCTCCTCGAAGCTGCTGGAGAGGGCCCCCACACAGGAGCCCCCCGAGTGCTCCCGGAGAGAGGGGCCGGCGCCCGCCGCGCAATGGGGGGGGGATGGGCGGCGGCGGGCAGAGAGCAAGCCTCTGGCAGGAGAGGAAAGGCAGCGAGGACGGGCAGAGGCACGGGGGGTAGGAGGGAGGGGGGGTAGGAGGAGGAGGAGGAGGAGGAGGAGGAGGAGGAGGAGGAGGAGGAGGAGGAGGAGGAGGAGGAGGAGGAGGGAGGAGGGAGGAAGATGAGGAGGGAGGAAGATGAGGAGGAGGAAGATGAGGAGGACAATTTGGCGGCACGGGTTCCGCATCGGCTATCGGGGCCACAGTTGGCGGCAGCGCACCGGGGGGGGAATTAGGGGGAGGGGGGAAGGCTTCTTGGAAGGAGGCTGCCTTCTTGGAAGGCGCCAGCCTTGCATCTGCAGACGAGGCCCGCGCCTCCTGAGAAGCAGGGGTGCTTCTAAGAAGCCTTCCCCCCTCCCCTCATACCCCCCTCTGCGCGTGGCCGACACAGAGAGGAAGTCGGAGCAACTCGGAGCGTGAACACCGCGGTTCGAAGCCACCCACCTCCCTCGTGCGCCCCCGCCAATCCTTCCTCGCCACTTCCCCCCACCGCTCCGCGTGCGCCTCCCTCCCCCTCGCTCCTGCCCCTGGCCCGTCCCTCCCTCGCCATCCCTCCCCCTCGCTCCCCGCCTATCCCTCCTCTAGACAAGCGCGCTCCACCACTCGGCAAGTAACGACTCGCAGATGGCCTGGATCCGCCGCGGAGGATTTACGATGCATTACGGTCGAGTCGAACATGCGTTCGTTCGGACGTTTGCGAGTAGGCACTTTGCGAGTAGTGTTAGGTCGGGCATGTCCTCCTATAGGCGGCTTTGGGGGGGCGAAAAATAAAGAATAGTCAAAAAGAAATAGTCCAACTACAAATCCCCAGACTGTGTTTGACTATTTGTTCATATTCCTCCTGCAGAGGGACATGCCCGATTTGAGCATGGCAAGACGCGCTCGGTGATCCTCACAGACCTCTCCGGCCGAGGAAGCAGCGCCGCACTGCAGGGCGGCCAGGTCTCCTGCGACGCCACGGGGCAGCGAGCCCGGCGCCCCAGCCGCCAGCGGGCCGGCGCGGGAGGGGGGCCGGTGCGGGAGGCTCCGCCCGTCGACGCCGCCACGGCAGGCGCTGCAGCCGGCCCCCAAGCACGAATACACGCTCTCATCTCGGCGGCGAGAGAGGCATATGCGTCGGCTTCGTGCTTCTACTTTGGTCCAGGATGCTCCTCGGCGGTCCTCGCCGAGGGGGAAAAAAAAAGAGCACACGTCCGAGCGATGCCAAGGCGCTCCCAGGACACTCACAGGTCGAGCGCCGGCCGCGCAGGCGAACACGGCAGCGCCCACCACCCACGCCCCGCAACGCCAGCGGACGGGAAACGGCGGGGGAGGGGGCGGAGGGGCTACCGTTGGCTGTCTCCTCTTCTTCTCCCTCCTCGCCCTCCTCCCCTCCTCCATCATCCATCACGCTCGGCGGCGAGAGAGGAGGGGAAGTGAGAAGGAGAAAGCCTTCTCAGAAAGCGGCTTCGACTTCTCAGAAGCCCTCGCGCCCTCTGAGAAGCTTCCTGTCTTCGGGGAAGGCTCAGAAAACTTCTGAGAAGGCCGGGGGACTTCCGAGCCTTCTGAGAAGGCCCGCGCCCCCTGGGCTCGCCGCCAAATCATCGTCCGCACGCTCCGTGCGCGCCCTGTACCCCAGTTCCTCTGCTGCAACTGGGTGAGGGAGGATGGAGGAAAAGGAGGCAGGGAGAAGACGACGACGACGACGAAGAAGACGACGACGGTTGCGACCCGATGCCCAAACAGCACTTGCACTTAGGCACACCCTGTCTGGGGTCCCCGCTGTCGCCGCCCCGATTCCCAAACTCGTGGGCGGCAAAAAGGGGGGCGTCCAACAGAGGGGGGGTGCAAATCAAGGCCCGAGGCGTGTACGCGGACCAGATCGGCGTGTCTCAGGCGAAACCATCCCAACTGCCCGCGGCCGTTAGCCGCACCCCAGCCGTGCATCGTCAGATCTCAGGCGACTCCTTCCCCCACCTTTCGAGGCTGTCAGCCGCACCCCTTCTCATGCTGCGGCAAGCCCAGGCGTCACCCGTTCCCATCGTTTCGCAGCTGTTAGCTGCACCCCACCTGTGCGTCGTCCCGCGGCTATTTGCCGCACCCCATCCGACCACACTGACGTGACATGTACCTTCCATTCCGCGGCAGTCAGCCGCACCCCAGCAGGGCATCTGCATGTCTCAGGCGAAACTACTTCCCACCTTCCCGCGGCTGTCAGCCGCACCCCGGCAGGACACCGGCATGTCTCAGGCGAAACCATTTCCCATCTGCCCGCGGCTGTTAGCCGCACCCCGGCTGTCCGCGGCTGTTAGCCGCACCCCTCCACATGCTGCGGCAAGTCCTGGCGTCACCCTTTCCCATCTTTCCGCGGTTGTTAGCTGCACCCCACCTGTGCGTCGGACTGTCTCAGGCGGGACCGTCTCCTACCTTTCCGCGGCTGCTAGCCGCACCCCCACTGGGCCTTGGGATGTCTCAGGCGGATCCTTTACCTATCACCCGCGGCTGTTAGCCGCACCCCTGGGGCGCGTTGGCTGGTCTCAGGCGATACCTCGCCGTGCTTTCTCCACCTTTCCGCGGCTATCAGCCGCCCCTCATCGAAGATAACCGAAGTTCCCGCGGCTGTTAGCCGCCCCCCTCTGCAGGGCGCCTCCGGCCCTCCGTGCTCCCCCCGGGGCACGCGGGCCGGCAGGTTCCCTTTACGCCCGCGGTCTCGCGTCGGCCCTGGAGGACGGCCGTTTGGACAGCTACCTGTACCTCGGTGCGTACGCGGCTCGCGCCTCCATGGACTTCTCGGGCACGGTCTCCGTTGACGCGGGCTGCATCTGGGTCTCCCGCCGGCTGGCGCACGATCACGGCTCGGCACTTGGTTCTCAAAGCTCGAGGCCATCGACGTCTGACGGCTGGCGTGGTTCTTGAGTACCCGATCGCCCATTCGCGGCAAGTACTCGGTGTACAACGAAGCCCTGGTGGTCACCTACCCTGTCCTTCGCCTCTGAGCTGCGCCGCGTGTGTCTCTGTCTCGCTCCTTTCGTCGTTGTTCCGCCTTCTTCGCTTTCTTATTTTCGTTTGTCTTCTTCGCTCGTGTCGCTCTCTCCCTCGCCTCGTTTTCGCCGCTCTTGCGCAGCCTCTGCGTAGTGGCCCTGCACATTTTCCGCTGCCTTGCACTTGCACGGCTCCGCGCTTCGCTTGACCTTTCGACGCCGCGCGGGTGCCCGCTCGCGATCGCGATCAAAAAGTGTACGCGGACCAGGAGGGGCCAGGGAACGTATGGGGAGATATCATGGCCCCCGCCATGATATACCCCCTCCCTCTAGTCATCACCCCCCTCTTAGCCGCCCCCTAAAAACAGCGCTCGGTTCAGGATCCATTCCGCCAGGAGCGGCTCCTCCCTCCCGAGCCACCCTGTGCGCGACGACGACGACGACGACGACGACGGCGACGACGGTTGCGACCCGATGCCAAAACAAGGCTTGCACTTAGGCAAACCCTGTCGCCGCGCCGATTCACAAACAGCGCTTGGTCGGGAATCTACCGGCCCGGGTCAATCCAAACCCCGGTCAGTCAGGCCTTGCAGGACCCTGCCCGATCCTGCCAGATCCTGCGGGCTCCTGCACCCAAACCCAGGTCCCAGGTCAGTGCGCCCCCTGGCTCTGCAGGACCCTGCAAGATCTGGCGCGCTGACTGACCCCCGTCTGCATGGACCCCCGTCTCTTGAGCCCCGACCCGTTCTGCCCCTGAGAGTCCTCCTAGATGGGATCCGAGCAGCTGAAGCTGGAGGATCGCGCCGCTCACCGCCGATGCATCGCCGACATTGGCGATGCACCGGGCGACGTCGGCGTGGAGAAGCGCGGGCTCCACACCGAGCCGCGCAGCCGATGCGTGGAGCCCGCCCTGGCCCGGGAGCCGCTCCGCCGGGGGCGCGGCCCGCCCGCCCGGGGGCCACCCGGTGCGCCAGCTCGTCCCTCTGGCCGGGCCGGCCCTGGCTCATCAGCAGGGCCCAGCGGCCGAACTGGGACCTCGGCGGCGCTCGGGCGCCGCAGAGCGGAGGGGGAGCAGGGAGAGGAAGGGGGGAGGGGAGGGAGGGAGGGGGGAGGGAGGAAGAAGGGAGGGAGAGGAGGGGAGGGAGGAAGGAAGGAAGGGGGGACCGGGAGAGGGGAAAAGGGAGGGGGGCAGGGAGGAAGGGGGGAGAGGAGGGGAGGGAGGAAGGAAGGAGGACCAGGAAAGGGAGGAAGGGGGGGAGAGGAAGGGAGGGAGGTGCTGCGCCAAGCCGAGAGAGGGGTGCGGCTGGTGGCGAAAGAGCCACCAGGCCTGCGGGCCGCAGTTGGGCGGCCAGAAGCGGGCGGGGAATATCTGTGCGAGCTCACCTATCACACGATCACGCGTTTTCGCCAGCGCCATCCTCCCACTCATCCTCGTCAAGTCCCTGTCACCATCTTCGTCCTGCAAGCTCATCATTATCTTCGCCCTCGTCATCCTCATGCTATTCCTCATCCTCGTCGTCCTCGTCTTCAAGCTCGTCTTCCTCCTCGTCTTCCTCTTCGTATTCCTCATCGTCTTCCTCCTCGTTGTCCTCTCCGTCCTCTCCGCCCTCTCCGTCCTCTCCGTCCTCGCCCATCCTCGCCCACCCCTCTCCTCCTCCGTCATTTCTACGCATGCTCTTCCGCCTCCCTTCGCGCGACACCTCGCTCCAGAACCGTTTCCGGACGGGCTGGTGAGCATGCGCGGACCGTCGGCAGGTCTCTCCACTGAGCCAGACGGGCAGCCCATGAACAGCGCGATGTCGGGCCACCCAGCCCTGCCTCCCCTGTGCGAGGCCGGCGCGTGGACCCCGAGGGGTGCCTCCATGCCTTGCCGTCGCTCGGACGGTCCATTCCCCGTGCATCTGCTGCTCTCGCGTGTGCTGCCCTTCGTCGGATGATCCCAGATGGCGCCTCGAGGGTCCTCGCCGAGCCTCGAGGGTCCTCGCCGAGGCAAAACGCACACGTCCGAGCGGTGCCGAGAGGCAGCGCCGGCCGCGCAGCATCCGCGGGGCAGCGGGCGCGGCAGAGACGGCCAGGAGCAGGCGGCCGGCCGAGAGAGCCGCGGCCCACCCGGGTGGGCAGCGCAGCGGGCGAAGGCTGGGGAGGTCCGGCACCCAGAGGTCGGCGGCGAGCGAGGGGGGGGGCGGCGAGGAGGAGGCCTTCTCCCAGGGCGGCGGGGCTGCTCCGAAGCCCTCCGGCCCTCTGAGGAGTGGTTTTTGTGTGTGTGTGTGTGTGTGTGTGCCTGCGGGGAGGCTCGGAGAGCTGGTCAAGAGACCGGGGGCTTCCGAGCCTTCTGAGAAGGCCCTGTCCGTCTCACTTCCTCCCCCCGCTCGCCGCAGGAAGAGCAGCGGGAGAGGCGCTGGGGATCGCAGCGGCCAACAAAATCTCCGCCACCCGAGGGCAGATAGTACACACGGGGCAAGTCGTTCCAAGCTGCTCGGAGCCACGGTGGGCAAGAGCACTGTTTGTGCAGCACCTCTCGAGGCGGGGCAAACGTTAGGCCTCCGTCACCAATGGATGGCAGCAGGCCGCAGCTTTTACGCCCAAGTCTCGGCGTGCCATCTGAACATTCTCTGAGGTAGAGGAGAAGCTGCGGCCTGCCTGGCCATCGTGTTCGTGGCCGTCTGCGCCACGAGAGGCGGGATGATAACGACCCCCTGCCCACTTCCACAGGCACAGAAAGAGGACGGTCCTTGCCTGCCTGGGCAGAAGCTTCTTCGGAGGGGTGTCCAAAAGGGTCCGGGGGCCCACAATGCGGCTTTCTGATTTTTGGAAATGAAAAATGAGAACGACGGCGATGATGACGAGCAGGTAGAGACAATGAAGCTCCCAGCCGCTGAGGCCAAGGCACAGAGACGTGCGCCTGGGTATCCCGGATCGGCCTGAGATCGGCACTCACGCAAACATCGCAACCACAGCTGCTGATGAGACCATGTTCCTGTCCCTACCCCTAGTCCCTCTCCCTGTTGCTAATCATATTCCTCGTCCTCCACCACTGTTATCCGCTAATCATACTTCCTCTCCTTCCTGTTATCCGTCCCTCCCTCCTCCTCCTTGCCTCCTCCTCCTCCTCCTCCTCCTGTCCTCCCTCCTCCTCCCTCCCTCTCCTCCTATCCTAATCCTCCTCCTCATCCACTCCTCCTCCTCCTCCTCCTCCTCCTCCTCCTCCTCCTCTCACCGCCCTCCTCCTCCTCCTCCCTCCCTCTCTCCCTCCTCCTCCTCCCTCCTCCTCCTCATCCTCCTCCTCCTCCTCCTCCTCCTCCTCCTCCCTCCTCCTCCTCCTCCTCTCTCCTCCTCCTCCTCCTCCTCCTCCCTCCTCCTCTCCTCCTCATCCTCATCATCATCATCATCATCATCATCATCATCATCATCATCATCATCACATCATCATCATCATCTCATCATCATCATCATCATCATCATCTCATCATCATCATCATCATCATCATCATCATCATCATCATCATCATCATCATCATCATCATCATCATCACATCATCATCATCATCATCATCATCATCATCATCATCATCATCATCATCATCATCATCATCATCATCATCATCATCATGTTGGGGTCTCCTGGGGGCCCCGAGAGGCCCCCAGGAGACCCCAACGGGCCACCAAGAGGCCCCCGACAGAGCCCAAGAGGCCCCCAAGAGGCCCCCGAGAGGCCCCACGGGGCCCCAGGAGGCCCCCACGGGGCCCCAGGATGCCCAAAAAATACCGCCAAGGGGCCCCCGAGAGGCCCCCCGAGAGACCCCAAGACGCTTCCCAAAGGGGCGTCGCCGCCCATCGCGGGCGGCGCCTCGCCGGGTCCGCGGGCCGCGTTCCTGCGAGCAACAAAGACTCGGCGCAAAAGCCCACTCCTACCCCCGATGCTCCTCCGTTCACCCCCTGGCCCCCCTCTCCGCCCCACCCCATGGTGGCATTCCATCATCCTCCTTCCTTTCACTGCAGCAGCACACTCCTTTTTTCCGCCTCCTTCTTTGTCTCTTCCTCCTCCTCCCCCTCCTCCTCCTCCTCCTCCTCCTCCTCCTCCTCCTCCTCCTCCTCCTCCTCCTCCTGCTCCTCCTGCTCCCCTTCCTCCTCCTTTTCCAGCCTCTGCGCTGTCGCCTCTCGACGCTGCTACCACCCCACTTCCCTCTAGCTCGCCGAGAATAAGGAAGGAGAAAGTATACAGAAGGAAAATTAGGAAAGAGTGGAGCCACAATAATGTGTTCCTTCACACCCGCGTCCGCAACGACAGAGGTCATCAGGACCAACAGAGAGCCAATGTTCGCAGTCAATGCCCGCCACCCTCCGACAGGAGGCTTCCATCATCGCATAAGCTGTCTCTTCCCTCGACTCGAACGGCCCCAAACTGAGCATCCACGGGCAACACGTCCCCACGAAGGCTCCAGAAGACCAAAAAAACGGCTAACACCTAGAGACCCAGCTCTGTTTTAAAGTACATGATCATATGTGTTATATGTTGTAATGGCAATACACATATGTATACTATTATATAAACATGTTCCCTCGACAACTCCCTGGAATGTCCAGACGAATCGCCCTGAAGCTGCTCCACGAGAGCTGCTTCAGCCCCAACACAATTCCGAACGCAACGGCTCAGAAAAACAGTCCCCGCCCCCTTAGCTCCACACTGCCAACGACCACTCCGCCAGCCAGCAGCGGTGCGACAACGTGGGCTGGCGGAATGAGCGAAGCGATTCAATTATCTTTTGAGAAGAACCAGTGCGCGCGCATAGTATTATTATTAGAAATAATATTATTATTATTTTACAGGGATGAGGGGGGCGGTACAGGTCGGCCTGGCATGGCATGAACTCATACGGAAAATGAGCGACGGGGCAGAACCGTGTGCAATATGTGCTTTGCAGTGTCCCATGGGGGGCCGAGTCCCATGGGGAGGCGAGTACATGCGGTGCAAGCTATGTGGCGCCCACGAAGCACCCACGGGCGCCCACGACCCTTCACCAACCGGGCACCAGCAAGCCACCAGCCGAAACCTCGGGGCACCCATTCGATTTCCTTACGAGAGCGAAATAAGAGCCCCCAGTGCAAGCACTGCTTGGGGAATGAGGTGGCCCGATGAGGTAAGGACAAGTAGAACGATGATGAACAGAGTATGAGGATGAGAATGATGATGTGGTGAGAATGAAGATTATGAGGATGATGATGCTGATGATGATGCGTATGAGTATGAAAATGATTGTGATGATGACGATGATGATGTTGATGATGATGGCGATGATGGCGATGGTGATGGTTGTAATTATGATGATGTTGTTGATGATGATGCTGATGATGATGATGGTGATGATGATGATGATGGTGCTGATCATGATGGTGGTGATGCTGATGACGATGATGGTGATGATGATCATGATGCCGATGCTGATGATGATGATTATTATGATGTTGATGCTGATGCTGATGCTGATGCTGATGATGAGGATGAGGATAAGGATGCGGATGAGGATGAGGATGAGGATGAGGATGAACATGAGCATGAGCATGAGCATGAGGATGAGGATGAGGATGAGGATGAGGATGAGGATGAGGATGAGGATGAGGATGCTGATGATGCTGATAATAATGCTGATGATGATGATGATGATGATGATGATGATGATGATGATGATGATGCAGCCCTTGGCTGTGAAGATAGAGATGTGAAGTGATGATGAGAGGGGAGACAGCGAGTATGTGCGCGTATCGTGGCGAGGGAGTGTCCAGAGTGGTGGAAAAAAAAAAAGTCATGAACGATGATGAGGACCACCCGCTGGCGGCCTCAGGCGACCAGGCTGCATCACGCAGTGTGGGAAGCTCTTGCGCCCATGCCCGCCCTGGTCGTCCTCGAGCCGCTCGCTGATGCCACCCCACTGCCTACGGGACGGTGGCGGGCACGCGCTGTGGCTTGGCGGACGGGATGGAAGGGCCACGCTCGGAATGCCCGAGGAGGCGACAGGGAATACGGTGCTCTTTGTGCGCCTTTCTGCTCGCCCAGGCTGGGCCCCATCCTGCTTCCTCACACGCGCCACAGAACAAGTCCCGTCCCACCTCCGAGCCGACATCCGCATCAAATCCTGCAGCCTCCTTGAAGATCAGCCTCGCAGGTTTTCGCCGCGACGTGGCTGCCCCCAGCGGCGAAACAAGTGCGTGTGAGACATGCTGCTGAATCTCCAGGGGGCCAGAAGCACCTTCCCTCGCAATCTTCCTGCACCTCTGTCCCCCAGGGAGGGGCTGCCAGGAAGGACCGTAATTTCGAAGCCCCCCTTCTTTGATCGATGGCCTCCAGTGTGGCCCCGAGAAACTCACGAGGGCCCCGCGCACGACGCTCAGCAGCAGGATGCCTGTGTCGAGGCTGCTGTGAAAACAACAACAACAACAACAACAATCATTTAAGACTGGGGACACTCCGTTCTCACCAGTGCCAGGGTTTTCATAGGAGGCGGGCAATACCCCCACTTTGTGGGGGGGCCGGTTCAAGCTCTACCAAATTTCCATACGACTCTTCGCCACCACCCACACCCAGCTTCCCGCCCTATGACGTTCGGACACTTCACTTCGTGGCATGCGGACGACCGTGGCTACTATTCAGGGCCCCGCGGCCGACGACGACGGCGTGCGCGCGCGAAGAAAAAACGAATGTGTCCAATATGGTATTATTTGACAGGGATGATGGCCCTGGCATGCGCGCAACCGTTGTTGCAGAAGTTCGAAGCACGTGAAAAAGTTGCTCGCAAGAGCCCGTTTGACAGAAATGTTGAAAAAATATTGGGTTTCCTCAGAAATCCGCAAGAGCGCGCAAGATGAATTTTGAAACTTTTTTTTTGAAAAACCATTGGGTTTTTCATGTTTTTATGTTAAAATCGCTACGAAAACTAAGGTTTTGGAAGGATTTCATCTTGCGCGCGCGAGTGTGCACTTACGTTCATTTTTTGCAAAGGGATTCTTGAAGTTTGGTTATATTAGAACAAGAAATGTCATTTTATAGTGTTTTTTGCAAGGGAAAGCGGGCGTCAACAAAACAACCGGATCCTGTACACCCCTCTTTTGCCTGAGGCTTCCTCACGAAAATGATGAAAATGTAGCTGCGGCCTAGGCGGCGCAGGGGGGGCGCGCACCAGGGGGCCCAACAATAATTATTCTTTAGAATAAATAATGTTCAACAACAACAACAACAACAACAACAACAACAACAACAACAACAACAACAACAACAACAACAACAACAACAATTACTAGCACGTGGGGACACTCCGTTCTCACCAGTGCCAGGGTTTTCATAGGAGGCGGGCAATACCCCCACTTTGTGGGGGGGCCGGTTCAAGCTCTACCAAATTTCCAAACGACTCTTCGCCACCACCCACACCCAGCTTCCCGCCCTATGACGTTCGGACACTTCACTTCGTGGCATGCGGACGACCGTGGCTACTATTCAGGGCCCCGCGGCCGACGACGACGGCGTGCGCGCGCGAAGAAAAAACGAATGTGTCCCGCATGGTATTATTTGACAGGGATGATGGCCCTGGCAGGTGCGCAACCGTTGTTGCAGAAGTTCGAAAAAGTTGCTCGCAAAAGCCCGTTTGACAGAAATGTTTAAAAAGTGTTGGGTTTCCTACGAATCCGCAAGAGCGCGCGGGATGAAATTGTGACAATTTTTTTTTGAAAAACCATTGGTTTTTTGATGTTTTTATGTTAAAATCGTTACGAAAACTAAGGTTTTGGAAGGATTTCGTCTTGCGCGCGCGAATGTCCACTTTACCTTATTTTTTGCAAGGGATTCTTGAAGTTTGGTTATGTTAGAACAAGAAATGTCCACTTTAGCTTATTTTTTGCAAGGGAAAACCGATCGTAACAACACAACCGGATCTGGATGACATCGTTTTGCCTGAGACTTCCTCACGAAAATGATGAAAATGAGGCTGCGGCCTAGGCGCGGCGGGGGGGCCATGCACCAGGGGTCCCAACAATAATTATTCTTTAGAAGTAATAATGTTCAACAACAACAACAACAACAACAACAACAACAACAACAACAACAACAACAACAACAACAACAACAACAACAACAACAACAACAACAAAAAAAGGCCGCCGCCGCCGCCGCCGCCCAGCTGGTAGCGGCGATGCGTCACGCGGGCACGAGGGCCGCAAACATCGATCCCGAGAGGGCCCCCAAGTCCGCAGGGAGGGACGAGGGCCACCAGGTCCCCCAGGAGGGAACCCAAGAGGGACCCAAGAGAGCCCCAAGAGGGCTCCACGACGGCCAAAAAGAGCATCCAAAGTGTCCCCAAGATGGCTCCTAGAGGCTCCCCGGGGACCAAGTTCATGATTGTTGGGCCCCTTGCTTCACTACATGCTCACAAGTGCCCCTCCTCCAGACGACGGCCCTGGGCATCATTGCTGGATGAGCTGGTGGGAATATGCAAAGCGTCCAGAATCTATACGGCCAGGTGGCCTTCAGGGGTGGCCTTCAGAGGGCAAGAAGCCTGGCAGGACGAGGCACACGCCAGACATGTGGACGGCAACAGTACCTGTCTCCATCGGCGGGAACGAGAACGACGAAGGGGAAGGGAGTCAACGGGCAGAACGCGCGAGGGATGACAAGACTCGGATTCGGGGGACTCGGGCTGGCCTGACGGGGCCATCATGGAAATGACGAGGCCCAGTCTGAAATTTGACGCGAGCTCCCGCTGCAAACATCCCACGAAAACTGGACCGTCAAATCCAGGGCGGGCTCGCGAACCCGAGTTCTGGCGTACTCGAGTCTTACGTTTCCCTGACAGAAAGGCGCGTCGGCTGGTCGATTCTCCGTAGAACCTCCATGCTCGGATCGACGGTCGGCTCGTCGAGCCCAGCTTGGGCGAGGCAGAGAGGGGGCCCAGAGGCTCCTGCTCCGGCTGATGCCGCGCCCGCACCTTTCCTCAGTCTCTTCTATGCAGCCGCACGGGAGTGGCCGTCGCACAACAGATCGCGCCGTCCCGGTAGAGCATGACGTAAATAGAAGAGGAAAAAGCGCGATAAACATAAACTTGTTGCGCTCCGCACGGATTGTTGGATCTGCGCTGGACCCCCTTCCCTGGCGCGCGGAGCGCGCCAGGGGCGGCGCTGGAGGCGCCGCCTGGGGGGCCCATCGCCGACAAAAGAAATCCGCGCGGAGCGCACAAGTTTATTTTTACAGCGTTTCTTGTTCGTCGAGGAAGAGAAGCGCTCTTGCACCCGAAGCAAGGTGCCGAGAAGGAAGAATGGCAAACCAGGATTGCCTGCCCGCTGGCGAGAGGGGATGCAAGTAGAAGAGGGCACCGGGGAAAACAAAAAAACAGGCAGAGGATGACGAGGACGAGGATGACGATGGTCTCAGACTTCAGGTTCGGTGGATGCAACAGTAGGGCGAGCTCTTCCTAGGAACTCGGAAAAGGGAAAGGACGCCACGACGTCGACTGAGACGGGCAGAAGAAAAATACAACAGAACAAAAAACTACGGCGACGACGCAAGAGATAAGAAGTCAACCCAAATTGGCCGGGGTACGCACGCAGTTGCGGACAACGCATGCTCCGACGGCATCGCCGACGACAGCACAGGCGGGCGTCCATCGCCGCAGCGCGCGGCAGGACACAGCCCCGACCAGGGACCGACCAGCAGTGCCCGAAGACGGTCGCCTGGGACGAGGGACCGAGAGAATCGCTCGGAAGCAAATGAGACTCTCAGAGAGAAGGGCCGCGAATCGGGGCTTGTGCCGCGCCAGTCGCGATTAACCTCAGCATCTTCAGGAGCAGGATTGCCTCGGGCATTGCCGATGTCCTTGCCTTGTCCCCTCGTCCTTGCACTGATGCACTCCGACAGGTGCCTCGAGAACGGCGAAGGCTTCGCGAACACGGCGAACTGCTGTTTGGGTGTGAGGTTCGCCGCAGATTCGGCCAATGTCGGTGCTCTTGCCCTTGCCCATGCCCTTGCAGTCAGGCGCTCGGCCAACAGAGGGCATGTCCTCCCAGTAGCCCTTGTCCTCGTCATAGCCCATTGCAGGAGGGTGGTACTTGAGGAAAGTCTGCACTGTCTTCATCCAGCCCTGCACGTTTACGACTAAGAGAGCGCTCAACATCATAAGCAGAACTCCAGGCGGGGGTCCTTCAGCCCGAAGACGTTGGGCCGGACTCCGTCGGCAGCCCCAGCAGGTGAAGGTATCTGGCAAAGGTGAAGTAATTACAGGAGGCGCCGCACCACCAGCTTCATGAGCCTGGGCAGCATGAGCGTCACGCACATCGCCCTCGTGCCGACGCTCCCCCGGCGCGGCACCCGAACGCCGTGGGCCTGCCTTCGGGATGCCCCAGGGCCCGCCGAACGCCCTGGGAGATGGCCAGCGCACGGGCTCTGGCCGCCCGCCCCCCGCGCCCCCGCCGCGGTGCGGCGCGCGGGGCCGCGAGGCTGGGCCACGGCGGCCCACGGGGAGGCGGGAGCGGCAGAGGAGGAGGGCCAGCCCGGACGAGGAGGGGGCCAGCCTCGGGTCGGGCGTGGCCTCCTGCGGGCGGAGTTCGGAGGAAGCATGAGCCAGAGACAAAAGAGGGTCAAGAACAGCCAGGAACAGTCCAGAGGTCGTCCCCTGACTGTGCTTCGACTGTTCTGGAATACTCCTCCTGCAGAGGGGTGTGCCGACTGAAGGTCAGCCCGAGGGGGGGGGGCATTGGCGAATCAGCTCGCGCAGCTGATCTTCCTGGCGCCCCCCGGCGACGGAGGCGCCAGTGCACCGAGGAGAAAGCGCCCGGCGGCGGAGCCGAAGCAAGCGGCACAGAGCAGATCTGGTGCGGTGGGGGCCCGACCGCGAGAGACCTTCCACGAGAAGCCCAACCCTGAGACCCCAGGATGTGCACTGATTTTTGGTGTGGGAGCGTCACGCTTGCCATCGCAAAAACATCGAGGTCTACGAAACCCAGGGCACCCTGGAGGCAGGCAGGGTGTGTCTTGGCATGGGTCTCCACTGTACCCCCCCCCCGCTGAATCCCCTCCTTTCGTCCGAGAAGGGCGGGGGGGCAACGGTTCGAGCTGCGCTTGGCGCTGGAGGAAGAGGAAGCGGACGACGAGGAGATTATGGAAGGGGGAGGGCCAGAGGAGGAGGAGGAAGAGGACGACGAAGAGAAAGTACAAGAAGCCCCCCCCAAAAAAATGAAGGATGTGGCGGAGGAGATAGCAGGCCGAGGAAACTGAGGAAAAAACGACGAGGACGGATAAAGAGAAGAACGGACTTTGAACCTGAACTGTCGACGGTGGGATTTCATGGTCACTGACGAGCAAGAGGACAAGAAGGCGGCTCGACGATTCCCCGCCCTCGCGCCAGACAGCAGAGTTGAACGCGACTGCCGTGCTGCTGTCCGCACTGGCTCCGATCGTGGAAATCCTCCAAGCCAGCCGGGTCTTCTCCGCCGCCTC